CGCGACAACTAAATACCCCCTACACGTCCGCAATTTTTTTAAAAATCTCGTTAATAAATATTTTTTAATTTTGTTTTGAATTATTAAAACTACTTGTGTTGCATTATTTATTTGCTGAATATATGATTTATCTCGATTTAAAATTGTTATGGATAACATAAGGAAATTGCGCTTAAATTGTCACTAGACTTTTTATTAACTTGTTTTAAGCAGACGTTTGAACAGTACATTTAGCAGTGTAAAGTTTTACTACGTTCTCGAAGAAAAAATTTCTTTTAAGAGTTATGTTTATGTTTTAAAGCTTCAAAGTTTCCATCAGATGAACACAAATATTTTTTTAAAATCAATAACAGTTTAGAAGCAAGCTCCTATATGTCCTCTATGTTTACCTTTATCTATAGTCTTTAACTGAGCCGAATCCGGGCGTCCTTCGGTGCCCTGACAGAGTGTTTTTTGGCGTACCGGGCCTTCCCGTATTCGCTATGGCGCCTACGTTCGTTTAGGTTAGCGCATAAGACTAAGAATAAGTTGGGGTACTATAGTCGTTTACTAAGTTGAATCAGGCGGTTCCGTCGGCGCCTCAGCATGGTGCGATTTGGCGCCCCGGGCAAGAATATAAGCACTTTCCGTTTGTTTGCGTTTGTTTTCTTTGTGGTTGTGTTAGTGTTTGCTTTTGTTTTTGTGTTTTCGTTTGTATTTGTGTTTGTGTTATGTTTGCGTTGTTTTTGTGTGTGTTTTGGTTTTGTTTGGTTGTGGTTGGGTTTGTGTTTGCGTTTGGATTTGTGTTTGATTTCGTTTGCTTTTTTTTGTTTGCGTTAGTGTTTGTGTTTTCTTTATGTTTATGGTTGGGTTTGTCTTTGCGTTTTATTTTGTGTGTTTTCGTTTTCGTTTGTATTTGTGTTTGTGTTATGTATGCGCTTTTTTTTGTTTTGGTTGGTTTTGGTTAGGGTGGGCAATGCCGGGTATATGCTGATTACTTAACACACAATAGATAGTTTTTCAGAGATGCCAGTGCAGGGCCTGGCAGGGACGGCTAGTACTTTATAAATTTACATTCGTTTTTTTGAGAAATCAGGAATAGCGTAAATTGCTACTTCCGGTCAACGGAAATTACTCAAAATTTGACAGAAGGTAGAGAATTAGATCTTTTACTTACTTGTGAAATTTCATTTATCTATCTGAAATAGTACTCAAGTTATAGGCTTTTGAAAAATTCAAAGTAGAAAAAGTACCACTTCCGGTTATCGGAAATCGCTCAAAAGTTGATACGGATCTTCGATTTTGATAAATTACTATTTTATGAAATTTCATCTACCTAGCTTTAACGGTACTCAAGTTATCGTGTTTACAGACACACACACACAGACATACGACATACGGACAAGAAACTATGTTTTTCCGACTCAGGGAGATGTAAAACGTCGAGATTTGCAAAAATCTGTTGTTTGTTTTTTTTTTGTTATTTTTTTTTGCACGATTACAAGACTTTCTCTATACTCCGTATAAACGAGAAAGTAAAAAAATGTACAGGAAAACAATAAATAAAGTATTAATTTAAATTTAGACAGTCTCAAGCCAAACATCACTCGAGGAGCCCTCAAGTAGATTAACATTAGAACAGTTTCTGTTTCCCAGGTTTTAAAAGTGGACAATCTGATTGGTAGAAAGAGATACTCATCTCCCCCCCCCCCCCCACCCACTCCCCCCCCCCCCCTCCTCTCATTGTCAGAGGTAAATTTTGTGCACAAACACATTCTGATTATCGGAAAAGTCAAAAAATGTAGGGGCCCTAAAAAGTTTAAACTACACTGGGACTATCAAGGGTGGATTTAGACGTACTAAGTACCTGAGCTATTTTCGATATGCAGTTCTTTATACGTTCATTATAAGTCGATATTACACGTCAGTGCCAAATAAAATGTGTGCTTATAATTGTAAGGGAAAAATAATTCGGCCTTGACCGCGATTAGAAAAAAAGTAAATTACAAATACATTAAAAAAATAAGAATGGCAACAAAATGTCCACCAGGGTTTATATTTAATCCGAATTATTAAAAAAAATCGGGGGGGGGGGGGGGGGGGGGCAAGGCTTAGCTATAGCCTGTTAAGCTAAGTTATACACAAATCCGGCAATGGATGCGGTTTGTGAGGTGCGTGAAGTTTGAAATTTTGTTTTTGAAAAATTTGGAATAATCATATCTCTATCAAATATTTTTAAAAATAATTAATAGTTAACGGATTGTTTAGTTCAAAGTCTTAATGATTTGTGTTTTCTTCGTTTATTTTTTATAAGCTTTTATTAAACTCACTGTCTCTGTCTGTCGTCAGTCTGTTTAGGTCGAAAAGGCCGAGCGAAATTACAGGCACTTTTAACTTACATATACGGTTCGTAGTTGGTACGTGGGTCAAGACATAAAGACAATGCAATATGACATTAAATTTGACTTAATTAGTTGCCTAATTAATTTTTTTATGAATTAATTAAAATTTCATCCAAATTAGTAGGCCGTCTCATCAAACTATTCCACACTATTATTAATTATACACTCGTTATCACGTTCATTAGGTGCGCAATGTTCTTTAGTCATGCAACAATATTGTAAATTTAAAAAAAATAAAGTACTGAAGAAAAATTAATTAAAAACTTTTAACAACAAGCTTTTATGTAATAATGCTCTAAAAAGTAGAAAAGAAATTGTACACTACTATAACTATAAAGAAAAGCATGGGCCACTTTAGTATCTATTGGATTTCTTTACTAATATTTTGGAAGAGACTCATGCTTTTGTTTATAGTTATTTTAATAGTAGTGTATAATTTATTTTCTTCTTTTTGTGCATTATATTATTACATAAAAGCTTGTTATTAAAACGTTTTTATGAATTTATTTTACTTTCTCGTATATAGAGGATGTATTGTAATCGTGCACAAAAATCCTTTGAAATTTTGAGTTTTACACCTCAGTACTTCATCATGCACGGAGTATAGGGGACTTATTTTAATCGGGCAAAAAAATAAATAAATGCAGATTTATCAAAACTTCGGTATTCTGTGCGTAATCGAGTCGGAAAACTGGGCTTTGCAATTCTGCCCGTATATTTGTGTGTGTATGTCTGTGAATACGATAGCTTGAGTACCGTTACAGCTAGGTTGATGAAACTTCATAAACAATTATTATATCAAATATGTAGTTCTGTATAGACTTTTCAGCGATTTCCGGATGTGGAACTTATTCTACTTTTGTTTTTCAAAAGCATATAACTTGATTACTGTTTCACATAGTTAAACGAAATTTCACAATTAAGTAAAAAGATTTAATTCTCTGCCTTCTGTCAAATTTTGAGTAATTCCGTTGACCGGAAGTAGTAATTTATGCTATTTCTGCTATTTTTTTTCTCAAAAAACAAATCAAAACAACCGATTGTGAATTTATAAAGTACTAATAGTATTCCGCAATATTATACACAGATTGTTTGGCGTTCACTTGGTGCGCAATTCTTTTTTTTCCTACGAGATTCTATTCTATTTTTAAAAAATTTAATTAAAAATTATGTCTATATCCCGAGGTGCCATCCCCCGTAGTGTTATATAAAAATATTTGAGAAAGTTTAGGGGAGAAATTTAAAGTAGAAATGCTTGATACAATCACGTCCATATGTTATGTAACAATGGGCGGTTTAAGAGATACACTTTTAACCCCGTAATAATATATTCCTGAGAATTTGGTGTTTTTCTAGGTACCTACGGCTCCAGAGCTATCTCCTTAATAAATATCAAATTTTAGTCGCACATGCCAATGGTTGATATAATTCAAGCACTAAAAAAAAGAATTATAGTTATATAAGGCCGAAGTCAGTATAGGTCAGTTTATGATCACTTTTAACGCGATTATTGAAATGGTTCTAATTTCCCCGTAAGATTGAATTTTAACAGCCCACTTTGTCAAGAACAATTTCCATGCCACTTTCCTGCAAATACCCAAACAAACAAACAAACAACCACCACTTTGATGATATGTGTAAGCCCTGGCAGGGTGTGACTATAGTATATCTACGTCCCTAGACTTACATAAATTATCAGGTCAGTGCAAGTCCGGCTAAATCCAGACTCGTTAAACCCTTACCTTAGTCTTATAGTAAAATAAAACAAAAAAAGCTAACAATTTATTAGATTTATTAAACAAAAAGAATGGAACCAAATGTCAATAAAAGTTAATTTTTAAAGAAGTTTAAAAGGGACAAATAAAGACTAAACAAAATAGACTTACCACTACAGACTAAACATAACAAAACAAAACACCCAACTTCCGATGTTACATTTTAAACCTTCGATGCCTCGGATAGTCTAGGTTTCTGACCGACAGAGAACCTTCCTATCCCCTGCGACAATCGAAAAGCTTTGTAACATCCGCACCAAACACACATGTCAAACAATCAAAACATCCAACCAAAGACTAAACAAATAAAACATACAACACATACAAAAAAAACAACATTCAAAACACAAAACACCCAGCCAAGTTGCAAATGCAACCTCACTCCGATATGACCTGCACTCTCGACTCGGGTCAAAAGAAAGAAAGACCCAAGAGGTCGGTCGGCTTATATACCCGCTCGGCCGGAAGGGAAACCCCGTAGCCGCTGTCCAGTTGACCATTCACGCACAGATTCGCACACAATAATATACTAATATAAATAATACATCCACCCGCCCATATATATATATATATATATATATATATATATATATATATATATATATATATATATATATATATATATATATATATATATATATATATCTCCGAGTTAGGGCGTGACAGATGAATTTTGCCAAATATATATATATTGATATATTATGTAATAATGTAACATTTTAAAAATATAGGTTTCTTTATTTACCGTCCTATTGACCATCCCTTCCTTATACAGTTTTTTTGTTCATCTTTGTTGTATTTTGCTATTGAAAAATACTAAACACATTTTTTCTTTAACTTTTAGATTACAAGCACGGAAAAGCAAAATACGACTAGAACATTAAAAATTGTGATAGATTCACTACTGGCTATATGCTCTACCTATACTTATTTAGTTGCCTCAGGTAATATTATAATTTAGACTTAAGATTTTTGTAATTATTATGATGCTTGCTTCGTTGATGATGCAAAATAATTTCAATTTTCTTAAAGTGCTTATTTCCTCCAACGTTAGATGAAATACGCAACTTGCATATATCCTCTTACATCCTGTCGCTATATTGAACTTTTTATAGAAATACTTATTTTTCAATTTTTGAACCGAAAATATAATCATTTTAAAAAAGTTGATTTTATTTCTTTTTTTTTTTTTTTTTTTTTTTTTTTGTTATTTTTAACAAAATATTTAAGGTCTGCGTGGCACAATCGATAGAGTGACGGCTATCAATTACAGGTTTGGGGCTCAGAACCTGTTAGAATTATGTTTTTAGCGCTATTTCCATTCTGGAGAATTGCGATTATTAACTCGTCATTTCTGGGAATGGATGGATGTCCGCAGCTTTAAGTCGTATCTCCTCCTCAACGAAGCAATATCGAGGACTAGTTCCAAAAGCAAATATGTTAAGCAAGTTCCAAGGATGATTGTTGGCCAAAAAATTTCCCGGAATTCCTTCCTGGATTTCCCGGAAAAGCCAAAAAACCTCGAACAAATGTAGTTTTTGCTCCATATCTCGGCAACCAGACCACTTAGCGACTTGAAACATTTACCAATCGATTCCTGCCATAATTTAGACCAATATTGCCGAAGAAAGTTTTCAAAAATATCCTTTCGTTCGGTCACAAAAAATTAATTAAGAACATTTAAACTGAGCATATTGTAGGCCTAGGATGATTTAAACTGAGCATCGTGTAGGAGTTTATATTTATAGGATGATATTTACAAAAAATTAAAAATTGTTATGGATAACATTAGGAAATTGCGCTTAAATTGTCACTAGACTTTTTATTAACTTATTTTTTTTTACTAGTCCAAAGGGTATTAATAATATATTTTTTAAATGTGTGATTAACGGTTAGGGGTTAAGGTTGGATAGGACTTGGGACAGTCTAAGACTATTAAGAGTAAAAATAATGATCTATATCTGAGCGAATATTAAAATTTTAAACCGAATTAATTTAGAAGTGCTCTTGTTTTCCCTTGACTATTGTCTTACTATAGAGAAAATACGCAAAGTGCTTGTATCCTCTCACGTCTTGCCCAGGAAATTAGCACTGTTTTTTCCCCTCTCAACCGTGAGAAAAAATATATATCCTCAACAGAATGAGAGAGTAACAAAATAATCAGCCTTGCCCAGCAGAGTTGATGTCTCTTTGACAAATGAGATAGAGTATGATAAGTTTCATGTTCAGCTGCTTTTACTTTCCCTGATCTAATAAGTACCCTTCCGGGCTGAATGGGATGACGTAGGTGTTATAGACTTGGGTCTGGTAACCGAACTCGATACTTTTTAAGGAAATCCTTCGTGCGCTAACCCACTCCACCCGATTCCACGTCTTCGCACCGACAAGTTTTAAATCCGTTAGTTAATCTAAGTAGCGAAAAAAGTTTTTAATGAATACGGTATTCATTTTTAAATTGAAAAAGTTCGTGTTTAATTAGAAAATGTATTACGGGAACATTGTTTTTCGTAAACCTAAGCGAAGCTAGACAGTATGCCTAATATTAAGTAAAGCGAAGATGGTTGGATCTAGAACTTATCCCATTATACCAACCTAGTGCGAGGCCAAAGAAACAGGTTATGTCTACTGCATATGCCCTATGTACTGCCTGTTCTCAAACGTAACTGCAGTGTTAAATTATCACGCGAATATAATTGTTATGGTGCACCGTCAAAACGACCAGGACAAAATGGCCCCGTCAAAATGGCCCCGTTATTATATGACCCCGTCAAATCGACCCCCGACAAAACGACCCATTCAAAATAGCCCCGTCAAAAAGTCCCGACTTATTCGCTCCCGTCAAATAGGCTCCCGTCATTTTGACTCGCGACATATAGGCTCCCGACAAATGGGTTCCCGACATTTATGCTCCCGACAAATGGGCTCACGACCTTTGGCTACCGACAATTGGCCTGCCGACATGTTGGCTTCCGACAAAGCGGCTCCCGACATATTGGCTTCAGACAAATGAATCTTATGACCACTATTGACATAAAAGTAACGGTTTTTTCACTTCACAGTAGTAAAAAAATTATTAAAAAAAAAAAAATTCATACGTTGACTCCCTTACAAAAAGCCGGAGTGAACTAGTCTTTTTTTCCTGTTTGAACCGACTTTTGAGGTTGTAGAGTCTAACCGACAATTTTTCCCATAATGCCGATGATTGAATTACCGATGTCCAAGCAGAAAATTATCCGTCTTGCAGAGCCTAATTATCCTAGAATCTTTTTGAAAAGTTAGCTTGTTTTTCACCAAATTTATATTGGTTATACAAGGAGATGTGATTCGTCAACTTCTACCCATTCAACGATTTTTCCCAGACATGACACGTTGTTTCTATCACACATGGCCATTGACCTGCAACCTCAAGAATATCTTGTAGGTCGTCCAGAAGAAATTTTAAAATGTTAAGACTTATATAAATAGTTGGTTAGTCGCGGTAAGCTTTCACTCCTCGGCGACCACATCGAGGCTGACCTTCAGTTTTTCGTTTTAGCCTAGTGCAGGGGTCGGCAACCTTTTGAGACGGAAGAGCCAATGCAAAAGTTACTATTTTCAAAATTTCCCAGTTTTTAAAGAGCCACTAACATTTTTTTTTCAATATTTGGTATTTGATTAGGATTAGGTAAATAAATCGTATTTTTTATTCAAAATAAATAGCCTTAAATATGAAATAATATTTATTCATATAAAAACATACACGTTTCGTTAGAATAATAATCTTAGTAATCAAATAATAAACCTATAGGACTATCCCAACCCACTTTAGAAGCTGTTAACTTTTTTTTTCTTTCTTGACGGATATCCCCGGCTCAGAAGGTGTCTCCAATTAGCCAGGCAGGCCTCAACACGACAAACTCCGACTAACTGTCTTGGTTTGAATACCGTGTATAGGTCGCTTCTGTCCTTTGGTTCTCACCAGGCTTATCTTCCACCCCATTGAACGCAGGGTAAACTCGTACCCCACCGTCCAGTAGCCAGCTCAACAGTAGGGAGCTAATAACTAATAAAAACTACGTCACTTAGGTCAAATTAAAGAATACTGACAGATAGGGAAATGCATTCTGAATCATTCCCCATTTAATGATGTTTCAAAGAGTCGGCACTTGGGCAGTGGCAAGCATGGCATTGTTGCCACGGAGCTGGCTACAGCACGGCTATGGGGCTGGGTCTGGTGCCCAAGCGGCTGTCAGTTGTCCGTATACTCTCTACTGCACCTATTCTCACTGTTCTCTGATGAGTTTTTTTATCCTGTTTAAAGTTAATTTTTTTTTACAGTATAATATTTGCTGCGAGTTTTAAAAATGAAATAATATAAATATTAATATTTGTGCAGGGAGCTGGAGAGCCGCATCGTGACATCAAAAGAGCCGCATGTGGCTCGCGAGCCGAAGGTTGCCGTCCCCTGGCCTAGTGAATTACCTAGGCCATGCAAAAAAAGGCTAGATTTAAAGAGCCTAAATACCTTTACTATTGATAATGTTGATATTTTTACTTTAATAATTTGCGTTTTCTAAATTATTTTCTATCAGTGTTATCCTCACAATGGTTTCTCCAACTTCTTGTTTCTGATAATGCTGATGTTGCTATAATAACCATGACAGCCTTGGAAGAATTGGTTATTTTAGATTTGTAAGTTATTCCAACACTTTTTTTTTAAACTTTCAAATAATTTTAGAAAAAAAAAATGAATTCAATATTGTACACTAATAGCTATTACATAAACATTATAATGTAATTCAATACTGTTCTTGATAGTTAAGCCTTAAAAGTAGTAAATAGCTTTCTGAATGTGTCTCTGAATATTTAGGAATGTATATCTCATTATCTACAAGTGTGAGGGGCTGGAAAGCTATTTAATAAGGACTATTTTCTTGTGGGTAGTATGTGGTGTGCTGTTGTACTCAGTGGCGTAGCGAGGGAGGGGGGTGTGGACCGTACCGGGTGACACCATTTAGGGGGGTGACACCAAGGCAAAAAAAAGCAAAATATATACAGAAAAATGATAATTCCATTTAATTAAATGATTAATTATAGTGTTAAATAGTCTTTAAAGAGCAAATTTGACAAATCCTCACAATGGTGGAGAAGGGGGGGGGGAGACACCAAGACATGAACCTGCTAATGATAGAGAAAACATGCTACATCGAACTGTATTTATTACTGACTATAGATAAAAATCGTTAGTATTATATCTGAGCACAGTTTAAAGCAACCGTCGTGGGGGTAGGGGGAAGTTACATTAACTCAAGTTGCAAAATATGCCTGAGGTAAACGGTTTGGTTGAGAGGTAAAAATATTAAAAACAAGTAAAATATGTGAACACATATACACGCGCGGGGTATATATATATATATATATATATATATATATATATATATATATATATATATATATATATATATATATATATAAACACAGATATATAGCTACATTATATGCAGAAAGAAAAAGAATTAGAGGGGCCGGGGCGAAAAAATATTTTGCTTTCCTAGATGACATCGCCACAGTAACTTTTAGGAGTTTGATCTATCTGCCTTTTGCTTTCGCTGCCTCACGTATTTCTATGCATGTCATATGACTTGTGAGGAGAACTGCAATTATAAAATCTTTCTTGTGTTATTACCTTTATCCCTAATATTACCCAATCCCCCAAAGACGAGTAAATACATGTTTGCAACAGTTGCATGTTTGTGTCAACCTATGCAAATAGTTAAATAATCTTAATTTTTTTTCCATTTGTTTCTTGATTTCTTTTTATTTAAACACATACCTTTGAAATGTTTCATTGATTTTGTAAACAAAAAGTTTAACAAAACGTTCATAATATCTTTCACCGTATGAACTTCTAGAATCTGTGTCCGGTCATAAACCCCTGGACATAACCCCCACCCCCCCCCCCCCCCCCCCACGATAAGGAAAAACCAAAGATGATAAGAACCAAAATTAAAAATTAAAAAGAAAACAAACATTAGAAAGAAAATAAACCGGGAGTGATCTCCCCTAAACTTTCTCGTATATTCTTATATAAAATAACAGGGGATGGGAACTCGGGCTATAGACATGATTTTTAATCCATTTTAAATACTTAAAGTTTTAAAAATAGAATAAAATCTCGTAGACAAATTAATTGCACACCAAGTGAACGCCAAATAAAAAAGCGCATAATAGTGCGCAATATTATTAGTAGGCCTACTTCTAAAATTTACATTAGTTTTTTTGAGAAATCGAAAGTAGCGTAAATTACTACTTCCAGTCAACGGAAATTACTCAAAATTTAACAGAAGGTAGAGAATTAGATCTTTTACTTACATGTGAAATTTCATGTATCTATCTGAAATAGTACTCAAGTTATAGGCTTTTGAAAAATTCAAAGTAGGAAAAGTACCACTACCGGTTATCGAAAATCGCTCAAAAGTTGATACGGATCTACGATTTTGATAAAATACTTATATATGAAATTTCATCAACCTAGCTGTAACGGTACTCAAGTAATCGTGTTTACACACGGACACACACACACACACACACACAGACATACGGACAAGATTGCAAAATTATGTTTTTCCGTATCAGTGAGGTGTAAAACGTCGAGATTTACAAATCTCGATTTTTTTTTTGCACGATTACAATACTTTCTCTATACTTCGTATATACGAGAAAGTAAAAAACAATGTTTTATTACAATTTTAAAAAGAGAGATTGTGAGCAAAGCATCGCAAATACTCTATAATGGTGGGCTCCTGAAAATTTTTAACAGCATTTAAAATTCGAGCGCTGCTATCAATATATTTTTACTTTCTCGTATACGACGGTATAAAGTGTGGTAATCGTGCAAAAAAAAAATCGAGATATTAACAAATTTCGGCGTTTTACACCTCCCTGAATCGGAAAAAGGTAGTTTTGCAATCTTGTCCGTCTGTCTGTGTGTGCGTGTGTGTGTATGTAAACATGATAACTTGAGTACGTTATAAGGTGGATGAGATTTCATATATAAGTATAATATCAAATTTGTAGACCCGTATCAACTATTTAGCGATTTCCGGCAACCCTAAGTGGCACTTATTCTATAACTTGAGTATTGTTTCAGATAGATGAATGAAATTTCACATGTAAGTAAAAGATCTAATTCTCTGTCTTTCCGATTTCTCAAATAACGCTTATGAATTAATAAAGTACTTATAATATTCCGCAATATTATACAAATTTGTTTGGAGTTCACTTTTGTGTACAGTTGTGAAAACAACACGGGAGCTGTTTTGAATGTACCATCCATAAACCAGTGCTGACTAACCTCCAAAAACCTAAGGTTGTCATCAGTTCCAAACAAAAACATCCTACCTTTTGACTCTGCACCAGAATTGAACAGAAGAAAACTTTGTCCATCTTGTGTCATTTTATATTGACCAGGAATGATTATATCATCAACATTTCTTGGATCAGACAGTGGGTGTTTTGACGTCGACCCCTGATGCTACGACGTATGTGTGAAACCGATGGCAGCTTGGCCTTGGCATCTTCAGTAATCGTAGTAATAGACTGAGTGATGATCTGCTGAGGTGTTGCTTCCGTTTCTTCTGCCAGTTGTTTCATCTGCTGCACTACTTTTTACACACTTCTAGTTGAGATGTATCTGGTCCATGCAGGGGCGGAACTACAGTGCCGCCAGACCCCGCAATGCGGGGGGGCCCACGCCACTTAGGGGCCCATAGCCGACCATAATACATTTTTATAGTTAAAAAAAATAATATTCTTGCATTTTTGACTTGACGGTAAAAGCTTTTGTAAATAACAAACAGATCTACTACAGCAGTGATGTTATACAGTAGCTAACACATGCTGTTGCGTAGACAAATTTAAGCCTGATCTGTAGTATGAAAGATAGGCAAACGTTCAAAGCACTTCCAAGACTTATTTCCCTTTTATAAATAGTTAAATAGGGGTGTTTATAAGCTCCTTTTAATATATTTGTACTAAACAAATTAAAAAGCAATTACTTCTCTTAAACATTTTTTTAAAAATACATTCTAAAGAATGACATAGCCTAAAAAGGAAATATATTTAAAACAAATAATTTAAATACAAAAAAAGCAAAAAAATAAACATAGCACGAGAAACCATTACATATACATAGCTTTCACGTTTTATATTCTTTTGATCGGCTAAAAATTGAGGGTTGGCAGTATTATAAAAACATTAAATAAATTAGTTCTAAATCTTAAAAAAAATAATTCAAAACATACGAAAGCATTTCACACATGACATGTAATTCGTTCAAATTTAAAAAAAAAAAAGCCTTTTTTTAAAAAAATCCGATCAGGCCAGAAATGATTATGCTATGTTTGTATTCTGTGTTTGCATATATATATATATATATATATATATATATATATATATATATATATATATATATATATATATATATATATATATATATATATATATATATATATATATATATATATATATATAAAGGGGGCCCAGAATTTTTTTTTGCGGGGTGGCCCTTTTTTTCTAGTTCCGCCACTGGGTCCATGCGAATGTTCATTACAACGTCCGACAAGCTGTTCACCATGAATTTTTATCCTAGCTTTGCATTCTGCCTTGTTGCGTCTTTTGGCACACTCAAATGGCACAACACCGTTCGCCAAATCTTTTTGCTTGACATAAACATAGCCTTCAAACGTCGCCTTTAAATTGCCTTTATTAGATTGAACGAACTCCATTCCAAAAATTATACGATTTGTGGAGAAATAAATCTAATGTTATATCTATACCATGTATTCTGTGTGCCAAGGTGGATATGAACCAAGCTGAATCTCTCACATCTTTTGTATTGTTAAAACTGTGTTGCTTTGATCCGCACGGCTTCAACATGTGGATAACCTATAGTTAAGGTGTTGTCGGTGTCCGATCTTTGATCAAATACAACCGTGGTCATTCCTTGACTTTCTAATAGCATGCTTTTATATAGAAACTTTTGTTAGTCGTTAAAAAAATTACATTAATTTAATTAAATTTAGTTTTTCTTGGTTCTCATCATGGTTCCTTATATAAACCACATTCGGGGAGAGGGGGGGGGGGGGTATTATCCAGGGGGTTATGTCGCTGGGGGTTTTTGTCAAGAGGGTTCATGTCCAGGGGATTTTTGACAAAGTTTGTAGGAATAATGCCGTCTTCTTCTTTATTGATACGCGCTATTACTATTACAATACTTTCTCAACAAATTCCACCCATCTCTTCTTTTGTTCAAGTTGAGTGCAGGTAGAGGTTTGTTCTGTTGCCTGTTGTGAAAACTTACTTGGTGCAATTCAAACAAAGCTGCTCACGAGAAGAGCACTTGGCCTTCACGGCTGTCACTTAGTAGTGTAGATACAAACTGCCACTATGCTAAATTTCTATTATTAATCATGCTCGTTGTACTTAAAACCTAACAGATACACTTGATAGTATTGGTACTTTTTTAAGCACATAGACAAGGCTATGAAAACACGCCTAAGCCCTTAGTCTTGTTCTGTCACTAACTTAAGTGTACACAGACTACATACTCAAGGGTTATAACTATAATATGTGTAATACAAGGGACGTAACCATAACTTATCAGACGTTACGTCATAGGTTGTTTGATGTGCAGGCCAATATGAGATTTCAAGCTAAATCTGTTAAAACTGTTATTATCTTTTATAATATAAATCTTTTTATTTCATGGTCCCTACCCCAAATTGTAATATGATGAATCATTTTACTGAATTATGAGAACACATTCAGGACCTACCCTGCTGAATATCAAAATAAAATATAAAAAACAAGGACCAGGCTTGTGAACGCACGCGCTTTCCAATAAGCAGTCTGTACTAATTGGATATTTTTTGTTTTCTTTAACATTATAACATTAACACTTGGCAAAAAGAATTCTTGTGTAATAATGTTGAAAATTGTAGAAACAAATTGAGTTGAATGAGTCTGGTTTTAAGAAAGGCGATATATATGTATATTGAAAGAGGGATATAAATATATATATACACAGATATATATATATATATATATATATATATATATATATATATATATATATATATATATATATATATATATATGTGTGTGTGTGTGTGTGTGTGTATATATATGTACAGAGAGAGAGATAGATATATAGATAATATATATTGTGTGCACATATAAATATATATATATATATATATATATATATATATATATATATATATCGGAATATCTTTTCTATAGAGATTTTCCTACCAAAATTGATCATAATTTGCTGTTTACTTTGTTGGATGAACTCATTTACAAGTTGACAGTCAATACTGATTTAAGAATTGCAATGTAAGTGGTTAAATGTTACTGTTAAAAAAATAATTTTCTTCTCTGCTAAAATTGGCATTTAAAAACAAAAGATTGTGATGGAAAGCAATTAAATAGACTCAGTACATTATTATATAATATGTTAAAGTGTAATCAAAAGCAAATATGGCATTCTCACTCTCAGATACTAACACTAAGTTATTTTTTTTTTAGGAAAGCATCCAAGTGTCTACTAAAGTTTTGTGATTCACAAAGACATTTGGTGGACAGTCTGTGTGCACGTTATAT